CAACAATTGCAGCAGCAGCTTATTTGAGATTGGCTGGAAGACCTGCAGTTCTCCCTGCTAACAACCTTTCTTATGCAGAGAACTTCTTATACATGCTAGATTCCTTGTATGTTACTTTATTTCCTTCCTTGTGTGCCTTTTACTGCATAACCTTGTAAATCATGTTTAGAAATCTTTTTTCCTTCCGATGCTGTTGCTGTATAAAGTATAAGCACATAATGCCTTTTTCGTTTTAATTATCAGTCATTATGGAAATTTGAAATTTGGGTCCTCCTCTAATCCAATTAAGAATTTCTTTTTGCAAACTGGCAGAGGCAATAGATCTTACAAACCCAATCCTAGACTGGCTCGAGTGGTAGATGTTCTCTTCATACTGCATGCAGAACATGAGATGAATTGCTCAACAGCTGCTGCCCGGCATCTGGCATCAAGGTAGGCATCATATAATTCGAGTGAAATGATTCAGTGGCATTTTAAAACACGTCCGGCTCTGTATTTGCAGTGGTGTGGATGTTTACACTGCTCTTGCTGGAGCTACTGGAGCCCTCTATGGCCCTCTTCATGGTGGAGCAAATGAGGTATTTGCAAAAGATTATGTTTTCATTGCAGTTTTTTTTAATGCTTGTAAGCTAGTACTAGAATTTAAGTTCCTTAAGCACAGCATTGGAAGATCACTTCTAAGTTGAAATGTATACTTCAGTTTTTCTATTCATTATTTTCCTAGTGTTATATTTTGCCACTACAGTTTCTTATTTTTTTCTGCCTGGATTATTGCAGGCTGTGCTTAAGATGCTTAATGAGATTGGAACTGTTGAGAACATTCCAGAGTTCATAGAGGGTGTGAAGAACAGGTATTTTGTTTTATATCTAATAGTTAGTAGTTCACCAACTGCTGAAGAGGCTTCATATTGAAACAATTATTTATCATTTGTTTCCGGTTCTTACTTCAGGAAGCGAAAGATGTCAGGTTTTGGGCATCGTGTGTACAAAAACTATGATCCCAGAGCTAAGGTCATAAGGAAATTGGCAGATGAAGTGTTTTCCATTGTTGGAAGGGATCCTCTGATTGAGGTGTATTTCTGATCGCCATGTTAAATGCTTCCCACTCCCAAACAAACTATTGATGTGAAGTAGATGCAACTTTTATGTCTGTCTACACTTATCTTATGTCGTTGGCAAGTATCATTGTGGACTTTAATAAATAAACACAACTTGAATTTGATGCAATTATTGAGTTTGAGTGCATTTATCTTATGTCATTTTCAGGTAGCTGTTGCTTTGGAAAAGGCTGCACTGTCTGATGAGTATTTTGTTAAGAGAAAGCTTTATCCAAATGTTGATTTCTACTCTGGGTTAATTTATAGGTACTTTCATTACTTTTCTTTAGACGTGAGATTGTGAAGTTTTCTTCTCCAAGCTTGTAACTATTAAATATGTATTAACTTCATATTAATCAGGGCAATGGGATTTCCAACGGAGTTCTTCCCGGTTTTGTTCGCAATCCCTAGAATGGCTGGGTGGTTGGCACACTGGCGAGAATCCCTTGACGATCCTGATACTAAGATAATGAGACCCCAACAGGTCAGTTCCGTGCTCTTGAAATAGTTTGATTGTTTGTGCTGAACTTTTGGCGTTTCTTTGATTCAGTATTGTCCCCTAACACTTTTCAATATTAATAGCTAAGAACCTTATGAATTTCTAAATCCTACTCTGTTATAATATGCGTGTGAGGACATCTGATATGAGCTTGTAACAGCAATATGCCAAAATGATGCTTGAAACTTCAGAAGTAATCTTTGGTAGTATTTAGCTTGCTTTTTGCAATTTTTTAGATATTCTATTATACTACTGCGTACTTGATTTATAGTACTTGCTCTCTCTATCTCTGTTCGTTTGGTTATGTTTCTGTGCAGCGTGCTTTCTCAACCAAATATAAATAGAAGCTGCATTTTTATTTAATGAGACCAAGCTACATATTTGTTCTTTCGGGGTAGCATAAGTAGGGTTTATGATGGTCTCTCCACTGAGGGTTTACCAGCAGTATCAATAATGTGTTTAGGATAAGAAGAATATTTTAATCTTTTTTGTTCCACAAAAAATAAGTTGCTGCTACATCGATCATCCTGTTTCTTAGTTTTGCTAATCTTTGTGATTATTCAGGTGTACATTGGAAACTGGCTGCGGCACTATATACCACCGAGAGAACGGATAGTAACAAGTGATTCAGACAAGCTTTCTCAGGTTTCTGTTTCAAATGCCTCTAGGCGTCGGCTGGCTGGATCTGGAGTTTAGACCTCATTCGGAACCATGTGGAATATCACAGGAAACGAAAATAAATTTCATAAGAAACTATAGGGAGAAAGAAGTATCTTTTTGTCTTTCTGCATAAAATTATGCCTTAAGCAAAGGCAGAGGAACTGGAGGCTTTTTAGATTAATAAGAACACTTTGGTGTCTAGTCTATGTATTCCGAAATTTCCTGTCACTGTCATCTGGATTAATTTTATTTCTCTTCTTCTTAGCTTACTAGTACCTCCAGTGAATATATATAGTTAAACTATTAAACGTGAAAATGCTAAATTCTTTATACCGATAATAAATCTCGAAAAGTAAGAACTCGAAAGGGGATAATAGAGATTCGGGTAATGGTAATGGATAATGCTATAAACTACTCTTATCGATAAACAAAAATCGGGGAAAAACAATTATAATTTTTTTTTTTTTCACAGTGTCGATGTAAAGAGTATAAAAAGAACGGCACCAGTGAAGCCGGCGGCTATACTTTTTTATTTTTTAAAAAAATTCTGGGGTATAGCCGAGCGGCTATACTATTTATAAAAAAGAATTTAAAAAAGGACCCCAGTAAAGCCGAGCGACTAAACTGTCTTTTTATTATAACAAAATCCAAGGCATAGCCGCGCGGCTATACTATTTGTAAAATATTAAAAAAAACCCACTGCGAACGTAGAGCGTGAAAATAGTATAGCCGCCCGGCTATACTCTATAAATAGAATATTTCAAACGTATAGCTTTAAATTGTTTTAAAGGTATAGCCGCTCGGTTATACCCATTGAATATCATAATCTGAATTTCTCTTTTTTAATTAAATAGTTATGTTTTTATTATTATTTACTTAATGAATAATTAGTATTTAAATGTTTTAATCTATTTTATTTTTATTCAATAATACGTGAGTATTTTGTGAATAATACGTGAATTTTGTGTGTATTATTATAACTTTTGTAAAAAACAAGTGTATTAAACATGAAAAATATGTACGTACATATATAATACGAGTATTAAACTTGAAAATGCTAAATTATTTATACGAATAATAAATCTCGAAAAGTAAGAACTCAAAAGGGGACAATAGAGACTCGGGTAATAGCCTAATAGTAATGGATAATGCTCTAAATACTCTTATCGATAAACAAAAATTGGGGAAAAACGATTATAAAAAAAGATCATAGTGTTGATGTAAAGAGTATAAAAAGAACGACCCCCGTAAAGCCGTGCGGCTATACTCTTTTTTATTATAAAAAAATCCGGCGTATAGCCACTCAGCTATACTATTTATAGAAAAAACCCTTGTTGTGAAAATCGTATAGCCGGGCGGCAATACTCTATAAATATAATATTTCTACCGTATAGCCGCGCGGCTATACTCTTTGAATAGAATTTTTTAAAACGTATAGCCGCCCGGCGATACCCATTGAATAGCATAGAGTTTCTCTTTTTTAATTACTTTAATTAGTAGTTATGTTTTGATTATTATTTACTTAATGAATAATTAGTATTTAAATGTTTTAATATATTTTATTTTTATTCAATAATACGTGAGTATTTTGTGAATAATACGTGAATTTTGTGTGTATTATTATAACTTTTGTAAAAAACAAGTGTATTAAACATGAAAAATATGTACGTACATATATAATACGAGTATTAAACTTGAAAATGCTAAATTATTTATACGAATAATAAATCTCGAAAAGTAAGAACTCAAAAGGGGACAATAGAGACTCGGGTAATAGCCTAATAGTAATGGATAATGCTCTAAATACTCTTATCGATAAACAAAAATTGGGGAAAAACGATTATAAAAAAAGATCATAGTGTTGATGTAAAGAGTATAAAAAGAACGACCCCCGTAAAGCCGTGCGGCTATACTCTTTTTTATTATAAAAAAATCCGGCGTATAGCCACTCAGCTATACTATTTATAGAAAAAACCCTTGTTGTGAAAATCGTATAGCCGGGCGGCAATACTCTATAAATATAATATTTCTACCGTATAGCCGCGCGGCTATACTCTTTGAATAGAATTTTTTAAAACGTATAGCCGCCCGGCGATACCCATTGAATAGCATAGAGTTTCTCTTTTTTAATTACTTTAATTAGTAGTTATGTTTTGATTATTATTTACTTAATGAATAATTAGTATTTAAATGTTTTAATATATTTTATTTTTATTCAATAATACGTTAATATTTTGTGAATAATATGTGAATTTGTGTGTATTATTGAAAATTTTGTTAAAAACAAGTGTATTAAACATGAAAAATACATATGTGTGTGTACAATATGAGTATTAAACGAGAAAATACTAAATTCTTTATACAGGTAATACTTCTGAAAAAGTAAAAACTCAAAAGGGGACAATAGAGACTCGGATAATGGCCTAATTGTAATGAATAATGCTCTAAACTACTCTTATTAATAAACAAAAATCGGGGAAAAACAATTATGACAAAAAGATCACAGCGTCTATGTATAAACAAAAAGCGCGGCTATACTATTTATAAAATAGAATTTATAAAAAATAATCCCAGTAAAGCCGCGCGGCGATACCCTTTTTTATTAAAAAAAATCCGGAGTATAGCCGACCGGCGATACTATTTATAAAAAAGAATTAATATTTTTATTTCAACCTAACAACCTTAGTACACCTAATTATCAACGCATACTTGAACAAAAAAGAAATTTTTTAATGCATATGCACTTAGAACGGAAGATGCTGGAACTTGAGAGGAAGCATCTTTGCACATCCTGTGTCTTTCGGCCTCTCTAGTCTCTCATCAAGCCCCAAACAAACAGTCCTCACCATGATCAACCAATACAGTTGACAATATCCCTAATTTTACATTGTGAAGTCTGAAGGCTAGCTAGCAATTGAAACTTTTTCCCAGTTCGAATTGCCAAGAAACCAGGTTAAGCTCCAAAACCCAGCCATATATTTTTGGGGTTTTTCTTTCCTTACATATTTTGCTCTTTCATTTCTAAATGAAGTTTTTGTTGTTGTTGTTAATAATTAATTTTACTGCTCATATAATAATGTATTGTTTAAGATGAGGTCACTAATGCCAAATATGACTGGATTTGTTAGGAAATCGGGCGATTGATATCTTAGATAGAACAACTGCAGATAATATAGTATAAACGCCATTTTGAGCTACGCCGGAATTTAACGTTGTTCTCGCAATTTTGAGCTACGTCTGGAAGTTACAGAGCCGCCTAATCTCCACTTGTATCTCGCTTGAAAGTAGAAAACACCTAACCTGTTACTTCAAGCGAGAATACCAATGTCCTGACTCCAGAGTCAAATACCATCTTCTTTGTTGAATCTTCTCCACAGTTCAAACAATTCCCACTTGGAGATTGATCCGACACATAAAAAAAACCAACCAACTTTCAAGCACTTCAAACAGAATGGAAATACGTCCAAAGCAACCTCCGTCGCCATTATCAAGCTAGGAGACCAAACTGAAGTTGAAAACAACTTCAGTTTGTCAATAGTTGGCATGATTCTGACTTCCTTGGATCTTTGTGGATCCTCTGTCTTTACGTCTCTCTCAGCCTCTCATCAAGTCCCAAAGAATCCAACTGTTATACCCATTTCTTTCATTGGTTGTTCCTCATCAGCCACTCCAATTAACCTCTCAAAACCTTTCACGCTCACACCTCCATTGTCGTCTTCGTTACTTTTCCAAATCCTAGATATGTTTTTTTTTTTCCTTCATACGTGTTTTGCTATTTTGCTTGTTCGTTTCTAATTAATTTAATTTATTGTTGATGATGTACATGATAAAGAGGCACTAATGCCTAACAAAAAGCCAGTCATAGATGTTTTACTGTCGTCAATACCCGTCATGCTCTTAAATCATATATTCTTTCTAGTTTAGAATTTGGCAATAACCGAAAAGCTACCATGTATACATGCTTGTGTCTGTGTGTATTCTCTCTTGCTATTGTACAAGGATGCCAATAACCAAAATGGTAACATATGTGTGTGTATGTGTAACTATATTGGATTCCAGAACAAGATGAAGCCAAGACACAAACAACCATAACAAGCTAGAAAACAACTGATATTTGCCACTTCATAGAATAGTTATAAATCTCTTTCCACAATCACTTCACCAAAGGAAACCGTTCCTATTTCTGTTTTCTATGCAGTAGAAAAAAAAAACACAAAAAAATAAAAAGGAAACTTGTCTTGTCTACTTTATATCCAAGCGGCAAGTCTTAAAATGATGATGAAAGCTTTCGAGAGTACTTTGGCAATGAGCACAGGAAGAACTTGTACATCTTTCCCCACTTCAACTCCTCAATGGAAATATGTTGTCTTCCTGAGTTTTCAAGGTGATCATACCAGAAAGCATTTCACAGCTTCCCGTACATCTTTCCCCCCTTCAACTCCTCAATGGAAATATGATGTCTTTTTGAGTTTTAGAGGTCATGACACCCCGAAGCGTTTCAGAGCTTCCTGTTCATCTTCCTCCCCTTCCAATCGTCAATGGAAATATGATGTCTTTCTGAGTTTTAGAGGTGATGACACCCGGAAGCGATTCACAGACCACTTATACACTGCATTGGAAAGTCATGGAATAATAACTTTCAAGGATGACCCTGAACTTCAAAAAGGGAAACCTATTTCTCCAGAACTGTTTAGTGCAATTGAAGAATCGAGGTTTGCACTCATTGTTCTCTCAGAAAATTATGCATCGTCAACATGGTGCTTGGATGAACTTTTGCAGATTCTTGAATTCATGGAAGCAAGAGAAACAGTGCTACCAACTTTCTACAATGTCGATCCCTCTGATGTGCAAAAGCAAACAGGGAGTCTTACGCAAGCCTTCATTAAACATGAAGAAAAATTTAAGGATGACAAAAGGAAGGTGCAAAGATGGAGATATGGTTTAACAAAAGTGGCAAATTTCTCTGGATGGGATTCAAAGGACTGGTAACATTTCATGTTTTGATTTTGTTTTCAACGCCCTTTTTCTTATTTGATGATTTGTATATACACATAGTCAGTGTGACTTCTGTTTGAGGAAAGGAAATAGATCCAATTATATTTGCAAGTTTTAGTGCAAGAACTATGAATGGTTGCTAAACCTAAATTGCATAACTAATTAACAATAGCTGTTTTTCTTTTTGGTAAAAAAAAATGAGTGCATGGTAACTTTTTCGGAGTGCCAATAACAATTTTTTTTTTTCCAGTTGTTATTATATAACTCTATTATTCTTTGTCATGGGTCCGAATCAAAGCTCGTCAAAGATATTGTTGAATTGGTATGGAAAAGATTACGCCCAACATTATTAAGTCTTGTGGACGACTTTGTTGGAATTGATTCAAGATTTAAGCTCGAGGGACTGGATATGAAGAAGCTCTTCAACTTTTTAGCAAGAAAGCCTTTAAGAAAGATTACCCGGAACCAGGTTATGTTACTTTGTCTAATCGTGTGGTGAATTATTCCAAAGGTCTTCCACTAGCTCTTAAAGTCTTGGGATCTTTTTTGCATGGGAGAGGTCCAAGTGCATGGAATAGTGCTTTGGATAAACTAAGAGAAGTTTGTAATTCAGAAATTTTTGAGACACTTAAGATAAGTTACGATGGTCTAGATGACAATGAGAAGAAAATTCTTCTAGACATTGCATGTTTCTTTAATGGAGAGGACACAGATCGAGTATGAGAAACACTTGACGCTTGCGGTTTTTATGCACACATTGGAATGGATCGATGTGCTTGTTGAGAAATCTCTCTTAACTATTAATTCACATGGCAAGCTATCAATGCATGACTTACTCCAAGAAATGGGTCGAGATTGTCCGTCAAGAATCTCCTGATGATCCCCGTAGGCGTAGCAGGTTGTGGCATAAAGAAGACGTCATGAATCCAGGTTGGTTTACTGATCATAAGTTGATGGGATTTGCAATCTGTCTTCTCATTCATGGCTATCTCACTGTCAATCAAAGGATGTGTAAAGTGTTTACTTTCAGCTATGTTCAAGTTGAGTCAAGCCACCTTTGGTTATGCTATCTTCCACGTCATGAATTCTTAGACCATCAGTGGCTGCATATGCACACTGAGCTTGAATTTTCATTCACATTCATCGGCACAGTGATGAAGATGTGTGGGGTCCGTGTAGTGTACGAGGAAGATGCGAAAGCTTTTATTAAGTGAGCGTATATATTCGAGGCATAGCAAGCGTTTAAGTTTGTGAAGAGGTCTTGGATTTCCTTGACAATGCTCAGTGGCCATATCAGAACATGGCCGCTGGTGCGAAAGTTGAAATGTGTCATTTTTCACATCATAATAAAATACAATTTTTAAAATAAAATAAAAATTTCTGGTTTCAATATAATACATGATGGACCTCAAATTTCACACATGTACTAAAGTGACAACGTTTTACGTGGTCATCCTAAAAATGTTAAATTGAAGCTCAAAGTTATACACTAGTAGTGCGTACGAGAAAATGTGAAATTAATTTCACAACATTTAGTGCTCTAACAATTTGGTGAGAAATAACTTTTGGCATTCTTGTCATAGGTAGAACACCACTTATCCCATTGCATCGTAAACTTAAAGTTTCAAGAAATAGCCAATTCTAGGTTACCACAGTGGTTGTGGCCCCTTTCCTCCTGCTTGGCACCCGTGATCGAAACCCCTAGGTTATCTTTCCGCAATGTAATAATAATAAAAAGTTTTGAGAAATAAAAAATATGCTGGATAGAAATATATTGAAGAGGGATTAGAGGTTAAGAACATTCACAATAGGGTAGTATTCACTCAGCTTACTATTCATCTCACTATTTTACCGAGATAATTCCTATTCCTTATCTTGTATTTCATTCTTTTTAATTCCTTATTCCTCTTTCTAAAGTATTATTCTGCCCAATTTAAATTTGTTAAATTCAATTAATCCTATTTTCTTAAACTGGGTAATTTCCCAAGCTATTCCTAAAATTGGACCTCCTATGCCGTTACTCTGCCAATTTGAATTTTGATCAAAACATTCTTATGGACCTTTTTACCATTTTCCTTTGATTGATATTACCAAACCCGATTATACATATTTCCTCTCGTCCAGATGTATGAACAATATTGAACTATTTGGATTTTAACTTTACCGTACTGTAAACTGATCATTTTTGGACCAGGGATGGAACTTGAAGGACTTTTGGACATTTTAGACCATATTATTTGGTCTTTAAGTGATCAATGGTAAGACAAACATACTATGGGTACTCAAAAAACGTTGGCGAAAGCTGTGTGAGCATGAAACTGTTTTGGATCATATATTAGTATTTAACCTTTAAAAAAAACGTTGTGAGTTATGCCCGTTGATCACGACAATGTGCCTGCACTCGAGTTTAAATCTCCCTTAGCATATTTTTACATCATGTTAAGCTATAATTGACAAATTAAAAATAGGGAAACACCAAACATTCTCTTCATATCATTAGAGAGGTGAGCTATGAAGTAAATCTTTTCTTTGATAAAGGGTTTATAGGTTAAGTAGTTCACACTATTTACTCTTACACTTTAATTAGATCATGATTCATGTGTTTGATTTCTCTCTCCTAATATCATTGTATAAATAATTTTAAAAAACTTAAATGTTCAGACGATAAATACCTTGATTACTAAAATTAAAATATAATTTTATCAACTATTGGATTACATATATTATGCATATTAAATTCACTAACACATTTAATATACGGTGAAAATTAGAAGTCCTTAACTAATTCTTAACTTAAAATCTTTATTTTCATTATAAAAAAAAAACATTTAAAATCTTTATTAGAAAAGCCTCCTTTTGTGATTATTTTATTTTCTCTTACAAGATGGTCTCTAATTAAAGCGGGAGACCTACCACTACTAAACTACCATACCACTTTGGCAAAACCGGATAACTTCGAAGCGGACTCCATTATTGACCCGAATCCAATAGATCCGAAATCCATTATCACCCGAAGTTTCGCAGACACAGACAGACCCAAACCCAACCCATCAATCATACTTCTTGTTTAGATTTAAACTGCTCGCCCCAAACCTCTCTCTCTAACTCACCGGCGGCAATTTCCGGTCCGGCGAGACCTTTACATCGTTAGCTGAAAGTGATCACACCAGGTTCAATTTCTGATCTTTATGATTCCAATCTCTTTCTCCTTCTCTTTCACTTTCTCTTGTGTTTGCTGTTTTGCTCTGATTTGGATCCAGATTTTCTGTTCCTGATTTAAAAAATGCAGTGTTTTTATGTGAAGAGCTTCTTCATGCTTTTGTTTTGTTTGCTTGCTGAGACTAGTATGGAAAATCAGTGAAAACCCAATTCAGAGACTTGGAATTTGATTTATGGTTTGTGTTGCAAAATCATAGAATTGAATGTGATATCAGTTTTGATCATCCGGGCACACCTAAAGTCTTGGGCTTGTAATCAAATCATGTAGGTTAGCTTTAGAGGGTAAAATTTATCATAGAATGCTCCAGCCCTTCTCTTCTCTTCTCTCTCTCTCTCTCTCTCTCTCTCTCTCTCTCTCTCTCTCTCTCTCTCTCTCTCTCTCTCTCTCTCTCTCTCTCTCTCTCTCTCTCTCTCTCTCTCTCTCTCTCTCTCTCTCTCTCTCTCTCTCTCTCTCTCTCTCTCTCTCTCTCTCTCTCTCTCTCTCTCTCTCTCTCTCTCTCTCTCTCTCTCTCTCTCTCTCTCTCTCTCTCTCTCTCTCTCTCTCTCTCTCTCTCTCTCTCTCTCTCTCTCTCTCTCTCTCTCTCTCTCTCTCTCTCTCTCTCTCTCTCTCTCTCTCTCTCTCTCTCTCTCTCTCTCTCTCTCTCTCTCTCTCTCTCTCTCTCTCTCTCTCTCTCTCTCTCTCTCTCTCTCTCTCTCTCTCTCTCTCTCTCTCTCTCTCTCTCTCTCTCTCTCTCTCTCTCTCTCTCTCTCTCTCTCTCTCTCTCTCTCTCTCTCTCTCTCTCTCTCTCTCTCTCTCTCTCTCTCTCTCTCTCTCTCTCTCTCTCTCTCTCTCTCTCTCTCTCTCTCTCTCTCATTCAAACCCTTAATAAATAAAAATTCTCTGCACTCTCTAGGAGCTCTCATCAGGTGCGCTGTCCCTTTTCCCCTTACTCCTTATTTCGTCTTCTATTTTCTTTTTTCTTTTTGTTGTAATTTTGTACGGATATCATGGGATTTTTGTCCTCTCAATTGTTCTGGATCTGCTGTTTGATTCCTGTGACTATTCATGGCTAGATTGGAAATTTCCTCAAAATTGCAATCGATACATGTTCATTAGTCACTGCGAATTTACACATGCTTGTGTTTTTATTTTCTGAGTTTGTTTTTCTCCAGGATTTTCATGAGTTTTTTGTGTTGAGTTTGTGGTGTTGGATTGATGCATCCTTTGTGTATTAACTGCCATCCGGAATTTGCTTGATCCCTGATTATGTATATCCATTATGGTTTAGATCTTTGAAAACATGTCCGGCCAAAGCCAGCGCTTGACTGTGGTTCCTACAGTTACAATGCTTGGAGCTATGAAAGCTCGCCTTGTGGGTGCGACAAGAGGTCATGCTCTGCTCAAGAAGAAGAGCGATGCTTTAACTGTGCAGTTTCGTCAGATTCTTAAAAATATTGTCTCAACCAAAGAATCCATGGGAGATGTTATGAAAAACTCATCCTTTGCCCTTACTGAAGCCAAGTACGTAGCTGGTGAGAACATCAAGCACATTGTTCTTGAGAATGTCCAAAATGCCTCTATTAAAGTTCGATCAAAGCAAGAGAACATTGCTGGTGTAAAGCTCCCAAAGTTCGAATATTTTACTGAAGGTGAGACCAAGAATGATCTCACTGGATTGGCCAGAGGTGGACAACAGGTCCAACTCTGTCGCGCTGCCTATGTGAAAGCAATTGAGGTTCTTGTGGAGCTTGCCTCACTTCAAACATCATTTTTAACCCTTGATGAAGCAATCAAGACCACAAATCGTCGTGTCAATGCTCTAGAGAATGTTGTGAAGCCTAGGTTGGAGAATACAATAAGTTATATCAAGGCGGAGTTGGATGAACTGGAAAGGGAGGATTTTTTCAGGTTAAAGAAGGTACAGGGTTATAAGAAGAGGGAGATTGAAAGACAGATGGCATCTGCCAAGCAATTTGCTGGTGATCAGGTTGCAGAAAAGTTATCTTTGAAGAAGGGCGTTTCCTTAAATTCAGCTCAGAACATGTTGTCAGCGGGTATGGAAAAGGATGATGATATCATTTTCTGATTGGGAGGCTAGTTTATATGTTTGTTCCTAGGATGTGTGGTGCTGGTTGTGCTTCTTGTTCTGCAGAGGAATCCTATTATTATTTAGCTCGACGGTCTTATGTTCAGAATAAAAGCTTCATCCCCTTCATGTATGTTTCTATTTATTGTGAATTATTTGTAACAAAACTTACATCAGTTCAAGGTTTTGGAATATTTGTCGACTGGAAGGTCTTTGGTTTAGTGTAATTACTACAGTATGGTTATTTGATCGCTGCAACATTATTCTTCCCTCTGATAAGACTACGGCAAGAGTGGCTTCAGATTTATTTAATTTTCTTTATAAAAAAATTGTGGTTGCCTGGTATGGTTTCACAAAGTTAGGGGTGGTTTTTGAGCTAAATCTCAATATTAAACCAGCAGGTGGCCTTTGAGCTGATAATAATTTGTTAAACAAAAAAGTCGGGTACAAAATTGCAGGAAAATACGCTAAATTTTTTTAACTAGCTGTATCGAACATTTTGTCCCGCGAACCAACCGCATCCTAATTAAGATATAACAATCAAATTATAATCTCTTATTGTTACAGATGTGAAATATTACTACAAAAGCAAGATGATCAAAATAAAAAGAATGAAATGAAGAACAAAAACGATTTTTATTGATTGGTACAATTGAAAATGAGGACAGCTGAAATCATGTTGAGGCTAACAAGATTGAAGCCACCAAGATTGTTTACAAATGGAGCCATGCTTCAATAGGGTATGAGTTGCAGAGCTCAACTGAGCAATCCATCTGACACCCTTGTCTTCACAGATGAAAATGTTCAGAAAGGATAGCGTTTTAAATTCCTCTCTATCAGCTTGGGTTGTTTAGAACTTGAAGCCGAATCTTTCCCGGAAAACTCACCTGGCCGCTTCACAGTAGGGGCACTGTATAACATAAGGTAGATATAATGAGGGCTGGAAGTGAGTCTATATGTAGCTTTGTAAGGGAATATACATCCAAGAATTTTACCTGTAACTCTTCTGGAGCGAATTTTTCTTCATAGCTGCAAGATTTCTCACCTCATGACTGCTCATAAGAAAAAGTGGAGAACAAAGTCAATATCTTGAAAGTCTATCGCTCAACAAGGGTAATCTTGAGAAGAATCACTGATGGTCCATACTAGTACCCAATATCTTTGAACATAAGGCTTCAAGATAATTATCAGAACAATTTGATGATTCACTGAATATGATATACAAAAACTGTAACAATAAAATAAATTGCATCTTGAGGGAATAACATCAGCTAACAAGCCTAAGGGGCATGGCACATCATGCATCATTTTAAGATACAACATTACCTTTTAAGAAAATCTATTTTCGATTTCTTCATCAAGTTGCTCTTTGCGGTAACATTGTAGCCAGGCCCATTGCCTACAAAGAATTATCAGAAAAACAACCAAGAAAACACATTTATTCTGCACCCTATTTGACGATGTATTAGTCTTTGAAGGGACTGATGTGGATGAACTCAAATAAAATGACACATCACAAGAGAACAGAAATACTTACCAAAGCTTCTTTTATTCGATGATGGCGGAACCTTTGTGCAAATACGAACTTGCCGACTTTGTTTTCCTGCAAAATTTGAATGATTGGTAAGTAAGTTAATCATGTAGAAATTAGTATACTGTTGTTCGGTTTGCTAAGATGCGGTGAGGTAAACTTACGAGCATCTTCCTTTTGATATAGGCTCTTCAAGCGGTCAGCTACTTTATTTTCAGCCTCATCCACTTCCCTCAATTTGGCCTGCAAGTAATCACCCACAATGAAATTCTTATCCTGTTTTCTTCGTATAAGCCAGAAATATAAAGCAGATCTAGAAATGCTAAATCAAGTAACCAAAACTAAGCTACACATTAAAATAATGGGATTCGACTACTGAAGCTAAATGAAAATAAATTTGGTTGGACAGAATGAGGGAACTCACCTCATACAATTGGTTCCATCTGAATGAAACTTTCTTCTTTTTCATCCTCTCAATCACCATATTAGTCCTCTCTATACCAAACTCCTTTTGATATAATTTCCTCCACAAATTATCTGTTATTGGACTCAAATCTCTACCCTACAAGAATTAATTAATAAACATCTCAGAACTTCTGCTGAAGCATAACAAAAACATTTATATAAAAACAATGTGGAACAACTTACTTTTGTACTCTTCTCTACATGCCTCAACTGATCGACCGTACAATGTGGTAGAATTCTCTCAAGAAAATAAAGTTCTGTTTCACCAACATCTCCAAGGTGCCTTATATTATCTATTGCAGTATTAATGCACAGATCAACCAAAGATGGAGGTTCCACACTTGTAAATTCCTCATCCATGCTACCTGGTCACTTTTTCTCCAGGTATGTCTCCCTAAGGCCAATACATTATACAACAAAATCAATTTCACATACTTATATTACTTATTTGAAGTAGTTAGCATTCTTCATATGAACAAACCGAGCTCAACTAAACTGAATTGGACATAGAACTAGGCGCCATTTAATTGTCAGGAAAAAGTGTTGCTCAAAATCTTGGAAATTTAGTTGAATTGAGACCCATTAAACAAAAGCTTAGAACTTTATCATCATCCCAGATAGTAAACGTTTAACTCAAACAACTTTGAACAATTATTGGATGGATTGACCTGAACCCATCAATCCCTCAGTTCTATCAACAATCAATCACAAAAATAAAAAAAAACTACAAAAACAGTAAAAGGTCAAACTTTCGCTACAAATCTCTAAAAAAAAAATTACAACCCACAAAACTCAAATTCATCAACGCAAATCCGAAATCAATCCATACATATCCAATCACAAATTTTTTTTTTAAGTACATAGAAGTTGAATCTCGTGCACCGAAAAAAAGATGAAGAAAAAAGCAAAATCGATAAATAAATTTGAATTAAGGGTTTGGAGAGACTTACTGAGTGATCGGAGACGAGAGGAGGGAGATCGTTTGCCGGAGGCGAATTATTGGTTTAAATTTAATTTAATAAAAACATTGTTCGTTTTATTCTTTTATTGTTTTTAATCTGAATTTGTGCTAATATGCACCAGGCTTGTGTTTATGCTTTATATGGACGAAAAATGAGGTCGGATTTCTTTTCTTTTTGGGCTTCAGCTAACGTGCGCGGCGCGTGCCAAATTTTGATGGCGCATGGTGTGGGGTGACTGGATCTTTTTGTCTTAACTAACCCCAACGACCTTCAATATGACCTCACCACTTTACAGCCAATCAACTTGGCGCCAGTCATCTTTTACCGCACCGTATAATTAAGGCTTATATGCTACAGTGCCCCTTGGAATATTGGTCAATTCTCACTTTACCCCCTCAAAGTTAAAGTGACCCACTTTGCCCCCTTGACCAAGGTTTCGTGTTTCACTTTACCACTATCCGTCAACGCCATCCAAAATTCCGTTAAAAAGCTGACGTGGCAGGGGTATATTGGTCAATTCAATTGAGCTGAGATTTTTCTCACCAATCTGAGGTTGTGACCTGTTCCCGTGGACCCTACCTCTAACGACTGATCTAGCTAAAACTGCTGATGTGGATTTGTGGACCCTATCTGAAACAAAAGAGCCGAGAGATGGCAAATTGAGATTGGGGATTTTAGTCAAGAAACCCCAAATTGGCTTCCTCCTCCCATAGAAGAAGATAAAACCCTAGAAATCAAAGGTTGGGTTTCCACGAAAATTGAAGATGAAGCGTGAAATAATGGACGGAGGGGAAGCAGGAGACGCGCAACCTATGTACGGTAAGTGATTCTTCTGAAAAGGGCTGTTTTCTGAAAAGGAATCTTGCCATGTGATGTGGAAAAAAAATGTTGACCTGATTGTGATGTGCATTGTGTACGAAAGGATAGTGTTTAGGGCTTTTTGTGTTATGTTCTGTCGGGGCAGTGTGGTGTAATGCAATATACCTTTCCTGATGTGGTCCCCTTTTTGTTTTCTATTAGTAGGTGTTGAAAATTGGCTTAGAATGCAGTATACATGTTTGTTGTGTTGCTTTTAATAATTGGCTTAGAATACGATTTTGTCGTTGTTAAAGACACGTTTTTTGTTTGTGTGTAGAGGACAAAGAGTTGGTCACTTTTCAAGTGCATCATGGTGGTAGAATTGTGAAAAACAAACAGAACAAGTGGTGTTATAGTGGAGGGTCTGTAGGATATTTGGATTGGTGTCCTGTATAGTATATAAATATGTTAGAGATGTGGGAGCAAGTGAAACTGCTTGGGCACATAGGGAAAGTATCACTTAAAGGAGTAGTAAATGATGACGTAGTGGATATAGACACAGATGGTGAGCTGTTAAGTTTGTGTGATAAGGTACCACTTTCTTATGAGAGAGTGGTGGTCATTTATGTACAACACATTGAAGAGGAAGGTGTTGCAGTGAATGAGGATATTGGGCCTGTTACTGAGGATATTGGGCCACTGAACAATGATAAAGAGGGGCGGCCTTTTACTAAGAATCATGGGCCTGCTTGCACAGTTGAAGACTGGGATTCAAGTGATGATGATGGGCCCCTGAACAATGAGGACAGTGAGGACAGTGAAGACAGTGAAGAAGATAAGGAAGATGACCCTGATTTTGTTGACAGTGCTTATGAGCAGAGTGAAAATGAATGTGAGTTGTTGAAAAAGGATGATAAAGCCTTTGAAAATTATGTAGACCACCCTGAAGTAGTTGAAGACCCAAGTGCCCCTGTAGATGAAGATCGGGAGTCAACTGATGTAGCTAACAGTGATGTTGAGAGCTTGGATAGTAGCTCCTATGACGAGGATGATGGGAACCAGAAGAAAAGGAAGAGGAAATTGCCTAAATTTCATGAATTTAGGCCGGAAACAGACATGCGCAACCCTGTGTTTAAGCTGGGTTTAAGGTTTGCAACCACTGGCCTATTTAGGAAAGCAATTAGAAACTATTCAATTATAAACAGGAGGATGATTAAATTCAAATGCAATGATCGTGATAGGGTGAGGGCAGTGTGTGCAGGGAAATGTAACTGGGTTTGTTTTGCTTCAGCAGTGAATGGAAGTGAATGGGTTCAAGTGAAGAAGTTGGTTGACGTCCATGATTGTGGGACAGTTGACCACAACTTTCATGCTAACTCAACATGGTTAGCTCAGAGATATGCTACTCAACTGTCTAGACTGCATAATTGGGATATGGGGAGTTTTAAGCAGCAGGTACAAGAAGATTTGTCTGTGATAGCTTCTAAATCCCAAAAATATAGGGCAAGGCAGAAGGCAACATCCATAACTGAGGGGACTTATGAAAAGCAGTATGAGTTATTATGGGATTATGCTGCTGAACTAAGGAGGACAAATGTGGGTAGCACAGTCATTATCAAATGTGAGTTGGAGGGTGAAAGGCCAAGGTTTCATAGGATTTACATTTGCTTGGCTGCAGTTAAACAAGGGTTTTTGCAGGGATGTAGGCCAGTGATAGGATTTGATGCTTGTCATATCAAAGGAAATCACCCTGGACAATTGTTATCTGCTGTTGGTGTGGATCCTAACAATGGCATGTATCCTATTGCTTATGCAGTGGCTGAGGTGGAGAATTATGAGACATGGTCATGGTTTTGTCAATTGTTGGCAGAGGACCTTGGAATTGAAAACAGCACAGGATATGTCTTTATCACAGACAAGCAAAAAGGCTTGATTGAAGCAGTGCATGATAAATTTCCAAACGCTGAGCACAGACACTGCCTCAAACACTTAGAAGCAAATTTTTTGCTTGCTGGTCACAGAGGATTGGTGTTGAAATTGCAAATGGAGAAAATTGCAAGGAGCACAACCATCCCATGGTGGGATGCTGAGATGAAAAAGATGAGAGAGTTGAGCCAAGCTGCATTTGATTGGGTGGCGGCCTTAGATCCATCACAATGGTGTAGAGCTCACTTTAAAACTCATTCCAAGTGTGACATCCTTTTGAATAATATGTGTGAGGCTTTTAATGGTGCCATTGTAGAAGTCAGAGACAAACCCATTTTAACCATGCTAGAGAGGATTCGATACTATATTATGTTGTTGATGGCAACTAGAAGAGCATCTTGTGAGAGATGGAAACATGACATTGGTCCAAGGATTTTTGGCATTTTGGAGAAAACGAAGAAAGAATCAGCTTGGTGCATTCCAAAGCTTGCTGGGGAGAGTTTATATGAGGTCAAAAACCATGATGGAAGTCAGGTTGTGGTTGATTTGGCAAGGCATAGTTGTTCATGCAGGAGATGGGATATCACTGGGATCCCATGTAAGCATGCTTGTGCTGCCATTGGGCAATTAAATGGGGATCATATTGCTTATGTACATGGTTGTTACAAGAAGGAAGCCTTTATGAGAGCTTACAGTCCAATGGTTCACCCAATGACAAGTGAAGACTTGTGGCCTAAGTGTCATAGGCCTCCTTTGATGCCACCACTTTATCACAAACAACCTGGGAGACCAAGGAAGAAGAGGATGCCGTCAGCAGGTGAACAACCACGCAAATCTAATCCTACAGCCACCAAGTTGCAAAGGTATAACTTGGAAACCAAGTGTTCACTTTGTAGACAATGAGGCCATAATAGGAGGAGCTGCCCTAAGGCAAAAGAAGGCAGTAGCAGTCAGGTTTGTTTCTTCCCAAAAACCATTGGCAATACTTATTTGTTTTCGATCTTTATGGTTTATTTACAAGTGATTCTCTTCTTATGTTAGGTCCCATCTAAACCAAAGGTGAAGAAAACAATTGACACGACATCAACCAAAAGGGTTACAAGACAATCAAGAGCCAAGCAACCTGTAAGTGACTTTCCTTTTATACATATTTAGAGGAATAGTTATGGGATGTAGTTGATGTAAATTGCCTTGTGTTTGAATGTATAGGTCAGAAGAAGGTTGGAAACTGGCAAGTGTTCTCAAACTGCCCAATGTTCTTAAACAACCCAACCTTCTGAAACTGCCCAAGCTTCTGAAACTGCCTCAGCTTCTCAAACTGCCCCAGCTTCTCAAACTGCCCCAGCTTCTGAAACTGCCTCAGCTTCTCAAACTGCCCCAGCTTCTCAAACTGCCAAAAAAAAAAGGTTCAAGTTTCCTGCAAAGAGGATTAAATTTACCAAAAGGAATGGCGGTTCTCAAACTGTGCAAGGATCTCAATTTGTGCAAGGAAGTGAATTTGTGCAAGCTTGTCCAGCATCTCAAACTACCCAATGTTCTCAACCTGCCCAAACTTCTCAAACTGTGCATGGATCTCAACCAAGTGCTAGCTCATCACACCCTTTTGCCAGTGGTACAATCAAAAAGAGGTTCAAATCTCCTGCCAAGCGGATGAAATTTACCAATCGGAAGGATTTGTTGGATGGTTATCAGCCTTGGAGATTCTAATGATGTGCTAGTGTTATGTGTTTTCTTAAAATGCCTCTTATGAACACCTTTTCATTCCACTGTTATTTTGCAAGTCCAACTGTTAAGGACAAGTGTTAAGGACAACCCTTTCAATAGTATCAACTATTGGTGTTCATTTTGATCTTAGGTCCTCATTGAAAGTAATGTTATAAACTGTGAGGAGTTGATGGATATTATAACTTGTAATGATTAGATCAGTGTTATAAACTGTTTCCAGCTTGGTGCAATTTTGATGTTATAAACTGGGAAGTGTTGGAGGTACTGTTGTTTTGGTAAGGCTTTTGATACCATTACACAAGTACCAAAACCCATAAACTGACTCTCACATTGTTTTCTAAAACCACATTCATTAGATAAGTACAAATACATAGTTCCATACAGTTGCAAAATCAAACCATGGTCCTCCATAATTACATACGTACCATACATGATATTTTACATACAGTTGCAAAATACAGACTTCTAAAATCTGCCTAATTCCTCCATTCCAATGCCCACATTTTGTGGCAACTTTTACAGAAAGTGCCAAACCAACAGAAACATTACCCAGGAGAGAATAAGCCAACCCATTAACTTTCTTTCTCTTGATTGACGACGCCCAACGTCCTTTTCAAGTTCCTTCAGTCTTCTAAGTAGCCAACTCACCAGAGCCTTCTCTCTAGGTGGAAATTCAACATCCACCCAAACAAAAAACCCACATCCTTTTTTCCTCCTCTGCATCAACCATTAATTGCAATTAATAAAAAAAATTAACCCAATTCACAGACTTTGAACAACAAAACTTACCCCTGATGAGTTTGGACAAACATGGAATCTTCGAAGTGGGTTGGCCTCAGTCCACGAAGTTTGTAAGCGAGCTATCTTTCCACAATAGCAACTCGGTGCCGCCACATCCAACTCTTCCCCTCCGTCCATTATTTCACGCTTCATCTTCAATTTTCGTGGAAACCCAACCTTTGATTTCTAGGGTTTTATCTTCTTCTATGGGAGGAGGAAGCCAATTTGGGGTTTCTTGACTAAAATCCCCAATCTCAATTTGCCATCTCTCGGCTCTTTTGTTTCAGATAGGGTCCACAAATCCACATCAGCAGTTTTAGCTAGATCAGTCGTTAGAGGTAGGGTCCACGGGAACAGGTCACAACCTCAGATTGGTGAGAAAAATCTCAGCTCAATTGAATTGACCAATATACCCCTGCCACGTCAGCTTTTTAACGGAATTTTGGATGGCGTTGACGGATAGTGGTAAAGTGAAACACGAAACCTTGGTCAAGGGGGCAAAGTGGGTCACTTTAACTTTGAGGGGGTAAAGTGAGAATTGACCAATGTTCCAGCGGGCACTGTAGCATATAAGCCTATAATTAATAACTTTCATGTTATTTCAGTGTTTTTATCTGAAAATAATCAAAATTAAACTCAAAAATTAATAAATATCAATTTTTTTAAAAAAATTTAAATATAGCCAAAAACTCACTTAAATTGATCCAAAAGCAAAAGCACTCTAAAATAAAACCTAACCGAAAAGCTAATTGTCATGCTCTTCCAAGTCGTAGGCTACTGTGACACACAGAACCTGCCTTGCCTCTGGTTCAGCCATAGTTTTTTCTTGCTCTTCTGATATTCTGTACTGCCTCCCGAGCAACACTAGACTTTGAAGCATCTGCATTCAGTGATACCGTAAAGAAACTATCTTACACTACAGGTGGTAAACTAAGTATACTTGTGACAACAAAGCAACAAGAAACCTAAAGATGAACTACACACAGCATATAAGAGTTCATGAGAAAATATCCAAACCCATCGATTCAAAATTATTATGTCAAGAAATTGACTTTAACTTTTTTTATTGTAAAAAAACACTCAAACCCACCGATTCAAGCCATAGCCGCAGAGATTATTTTTATTGCCTGGATTTATGAAAACATTGACTTTTCCTTTTCTTCTTCTTTTTGGTAATTGAGTTGACGAAGCCAATCCAATCACATTAGAGATTTAAATCCAATTCACTCCGATCCAATTGATATTGGATTCGATGATCGGTTTTCATAATGAAAAATTATAATAATGAAATATGAAATAATTATCATCAAGTTTAATATAATCAAACATTTATTAGACGTAAATGTCAAATATAAATGAAGCCCAAAAAATCTAAGGTTAAGCCCAAATATATTTCTAGCCTAGTACAACACTTAACTGAGGAAGAAGCCCAATTGGGATACGCAAAAGTTTTTCGTGTACGCTTGCACAAGTTATGATCCACATGCCACGCCAAGCAAATACACAACTCGCCACGCAGAAAGGTCGTAACAAGCCCGTAAAATGTACTGGCTCTATGAACCCACGCTTATTATCCCGTTGAGTGCCATTTGGCCCGGCGATAGCTCATTACAATACGGCAAAGCTCGAGCACAAGCACGCCAAAAAACACGCAATGCCAAGCAGAAAACCTTTATCTTAGCACCAAGCCATGCTACAAGTTTAAGTAGGCCCAAGCCACACGAATGCCTGGGGCTTGCTGAGCAGGTTGTGGTATGGATAGTCATGAGTATTCACAAAGCCCGTTGATGGACCAAGGAGTACAAATTTTGGGATGCTTGAGAGCACCAAAACTCAGGCTCATTTCTTGGGGCCAAACATATGGATAAGCATGAGAAAGAAAACCCAATACCTTAGGAAAATATCTAATGGCCTACAACACTTGGAAATATCCCACATCAGTCAAAATATCCAGCACCTTGTCAAATCCAAAGCAAATCCACGCAGATAGGCTGCTTCCAACAACTTGACGAAACCAAGGCAAACTTACAGGCCGCTGGAAATAAAACACCAACGACCCTAAACCTTAGAAAATAGCTCAGCCCAGCACCTTATAAAATATCTAACATCGTGGAAAATATCCAATGCCCTTGAAAATACCTCAGCCAAATCAAAACCAAGTCAAAGACAAACCATTGCAAAAACCAAAGGGAATCCATGTGCGCAGGCTGCTGGAGGTGAAATACCCTTCAGACCAACGCTCCTACCCATTTTTCTTTCTTCTTCAAGCTCTAGTAGGAAAACCAGGAAGAAAAGTAAGGGACGCCTCATCCACATGAAGGAGTCCAGCTGTGTGAAAGTCTTGGAACTCCAAAAAGCTCGGCTTCTATGCGCTCGGATTGAGGAGGTTTCACTAAATAGAATTGAATGGAAGAAAGTGAAGGAAAAATGAGAGGATGACTGGGTAAAATTTGGGGTTCCAGTGCCTATAAAAGGAGGCACCTTCTACCCAACAAAACAACCATCCAAAAGCGCAACCAAGCTTTTGTCAAGCGGATGGAAATTTACTCAAGCCACCCATCCTTTATTTCCATTTCTCCCTCTCTTCCCTCATCAAAATCTCCCCAAATTTCCCTCTCCCCTTGCTCTGAACCTTTGTTTCCATTAGAAATCCAAGCTCTTTCTCTCTATTGTTAAATTCATGAAGACTAAGCTCCCATGCCACAAGCTTCTCAAGCCAAGCCAAGCCATAATACTAATATGTCACGGTCGTTTGATTTATTAGTGAAAGGAACCAAAGTGTTTTCTAAGGCTCCACGAACCTTTCGAAACACTCTTGAGGACTGATTCTTGAACTCAAGCACAAGGGCAACTTCATCCGTTCTCTCTTTACGACAACCCAAACCCATTTGTCAAGCTGCTAGAACAAAAAGTCCCCTACAAATGCTAGAGAAAATTATTTTGATTTTATAATATATTAAACATTACTCCATCAAATTACTTTACATGTTTATAACTTTCTTAATGAAAATTACCTAATGAGTAAAATAAGCATGAAACTAACTATATTGGATTGGATTGGATTGGATTGGATTTGATTGGATCCTCACAAGCAAATCCGACATCCGATCCAACCACGCCGCTTTTGGAAATTAGGGATCCAATCCAATCCTCCAAATTATCAAAATTAAATAAAATTGGATTGGATTGAATTGGATTAGTCAATTTAGTCGGATTAAATTGGATCTTACACACCCCTAGCCATGATTAATATAAAATTGTCATGAATCATTATGATATTATATATATATTTTTTTTTTTTTGGGAAATATGATATTATAATTTAAGTGTCGCATACATGACTTTTCAGATGTTGATGCAAGTGTAGCTCACATATATTATGATATGAGTGTTTGAGTTGAAATATTGATAATCACTCACGTGACCTTCAGCTGTTGATGCGAGTGGAGCTTACAACACATCAACCCTTTAAAGTCATCCATTAGAGTGTGATGATTTCCCTGGCATAAAACTTATGCCCCAAAAATTGATAGATCAATCACACCACATTTGATAATTTATTAAAATGAAACCCAAAAATATAAGTACGGGTTAACTTGGGACAATTTAGTTGGGGACATTTCAATATAAAAGATGATATTTAGTAGCTTCCAAAGAACATGCCTGATGTCATTCTCAAGTGATGTTGATGTTCTCTATAAAGAAACCTGCTCATACAGAATACTGTTTGGGCTAGGGCACAAAGCTGTGACAGAATAATTGGTGATTGATAAAGTTAATTCAATGGTTGATTGATCAATTTGAGAACATTGGAAAAATTTGAACTTGTTACAAGTCAGGCTGAGCAATTTTAAAAAATGGATTACATGTGTCAAACGCCATTTTCAGTTGAGCACATCAACCATCAATTCTGGTATCTAGCTATCATGCAACCTCATCTGCTATCAATGGAGGAACAAATCTGCAATTCTGCAGTGTCTGCTCAAAAATATGAGCCACTTTGAGCAATTTGCCCTGAAAAATCAGTGGAAAAATCTTAAATTAACTACCAGCTACTCAACTCTGCAATCCCGTACTTTTCATTTAATTCAGTCACTTCCCAATAAGTGTTCAATTTAATATGTTAATGTAGCAAGTTTTCACTCATGTTTGCCATATAAATACCAGAAAAACAAGGTCAGGGTGAATGCTAATGCCCAACGGAGATTAACATTTTGCTATGTAGAAGGTGACATGGCAATACCTCGTCAAATGCTGCACCAATCATTTGAAGACCAACAGGAAGGCCTGCAGGCCCCCCTTCAACAAATCCACATGGCAAAACCAATGCAGGTAGACCTGCCAAGTTAACATTGACCTGCATACAGATTAAGTAGAAACAGATCAGCGTCATTTAGTCATCTTACTAGTGGAAACTACATCACATGACAGGCAATAAAAGTTTCAGAGGAGAACAAGCACATATGATACATAGAGCATCATAAACAAGAGTCAACATGTGTGTCGCTGGATTCCCCAAAATAAGATCTTGGACCATTTTAAACTTCTTACCACAATAGCATCATTCCGGAAACAACGGTGTGAATGTTAACTATGTACTCTTTTTGAAAGACTGTTAAAATTGAGGTCACAAATATAAAGCTGGGTGAAGTGTATCATTCAATAAACGTGAGTATTCACTGCAATTAAATACATGTATACATATTATATACTAGCCAGACATTGTTGACACTAGCAGCAAAAGTAATTAAACTGGTGAAAAGAATTAAAGGAGGCTTAAATACGCCCACAAAAAAATTGCTCAGAAACAGGAAAAACAATTGTCCTGCAGATTACAGCATGGTAGATACGCAAGCACCAGTCCTAACATTATATTGATGAACAAGGAAGTTGATCTTCTAAAGGGCTTATATGACACGAGTTTAGTGGAGTATTGATAAGCAAGAATATGCTTTCTTGTGTACATGTCCAATATTGTGACTCAATTATCATAAAAGTCCCAGTACAAACATACACACCCCCAACACATGCATATAATAAACAGAATTTAAGGAGTTGGGGTACTCAGAAAAGTGCTTACAGTCATTATGTCACCTGCATACATTGCTAACGGATCATTTTTCTTTTCACCTGGAAAGATAAAAGTAAATGAGTGATTTACTAAAACCATGTAATTTAATACAAAATGAAAAGCATACGCATTTTGGAAAATAGCATACCAATTTTATAAGCAGCAGATGGAGCAGCAGGTGAAATTAGGATGTCATGTTCATCCAGTGCCGTCTTGAAGCTTTTCTGAATTACAGTCCTCACCTAAAACACTATTAACAATCATTAATTCCTTCTTGAACACCATAAATCCGTAGGAGTAAGAAGCTGAGAACATAACCAAGCATGAGATTCTACAGAGAGGCTGCATGGTATGCAAATATAAATTACATAAACTACTGCAGCACTGATAAACTACCCCAAAAAACCATTCATGAGGATTGAGAATACAAGATTGTTGTTAGGTGAAACCTCAGATAAATGATTTCTCATGAGGTCTTTTTAGCTTTTATGAATGTCAAGGGTTTTGGTTTCTTCAATATTATAATGTCAGAATGCAAACACTAATGGGATTAACTCCTCCCACCAAAAATCCACTATTAAATTTAACACAACAATGTATTTTTAAAATGAAAATATTAAGCATGAACATCATGGTACCTGCTGGGCGCGCTTATAATATGCATCATAATAACCAGCTGAAAGGGCATATGTTCCTGTTAGAATTCTCCTTTTGACCTGCAAAAAAACAAAAATGGGTATATGTCTGCTTTCAAAAAGACAACGAGAAAAAACTAGGCAAAGAGCACTGCAACAATGTTTCCATCTATAGAAACTTCAAACCCAACAGGATGTACAGCAAAACAGTGTTAACTAGCCACCCATACATAGTGTACCTCAGAACCAAATCCCTTGGCCCGGGAATCCATGTATTGTGAGTTCAGCTCATCAGCAGCAACTTGGTTTCCATACCTGGATATTGATTAAAAAATAATAATGAATATGAGCATATTCATTATTCTAATATACCATGCAGAGAAGGATTTTATGAATAAGTTTAACAACTTCTCTTTTTCTTCCAGTCACAGTGGAAATCTAAACAAGCTTCTACTTACTTACTCTCTTCTCCCATTAAAATACACAAATGAAAACCTTGCAGAGATGAAAATTAATATATTAGAAGAGTTCTTCTGGGCATATTACCTGACACCATCATAACGTGATAAGTTCGAAGATGACTCGGATGAAGCAAGAATGTAATAGGCTGGCAACCCAAGTGAGAAAGATGGTAATGAGACCTGCAATTTAATGTTTCAAGTATATTAAACCAAGACACAAGAAGGGGTACAAATGACATTTTGGGGAAGAAACAGAGAAGTTGAGCAGTTCCAAAAAAGAAGAAGAAGGTAGACCTCTGTTACGCAGCATCCTAATTCTTCAAGGTGCAAAGCAGCAGTACGGACTGCCGAAGTTACTCCAGTATCAACACCATCATCGAGAGTTTCACGGATCAGACCAATCCTCAATCCTTTTAGAGGTTTAGATTCTAGCAAATTCATGGAAACAAACTGAGCTGAAAAGTCGGGAACCTCCTGAAAGAGAAATTCAAATGCATTTACATCAACCAACCAATTCCTGATATCAGTCTTTAGTCTATATATTCGAAGTACAAAGTACAAAGACCAAATTTTTTTGTTGAATAAACATTTCAGAGCTCAAATTCAGGATGCATAATGACAAGATAAGTCAGCTTATCCTGCTAAAATTACGCATGGTGAATCTTCAAAAGATAGTGACCAAAGTACAGTTAGAGCCCTCATTAGAGGTTTCAGAGATGGACATGACACAGAATTTGATACTTCTTCCACCACCTGTATACTAAAATTACTTATTTTACTAACAAGAATGTTCAAAATATATTTTCCAGAGGATTTCCATGTGGTAATGAAATTTGTAGGGGAATTACTTGGTTGATATGGAATCAAATCATGATTTGTGCCAATCAAAGTTTGCAAAATATTTGACAACATATGCATGGGTACAAAACAAAAAATATCAGACACAAAATTTACTTACACGCTTGCTACTGGTGGCATCAAGTCTATCATGGCCGGAAATTGCATGCAGAAGAATCCCAGCATCAGCAACAGACGTACCAAAGCAGCCAATGACATCAAGCGATGATGCATATGCCATAAGTCCAAATCTTGAGACACGCCCATACGTGGGCTTCAACCCAACAACACCACAAAACGATGCTGGCTGCCTCACACTTCCACCAGTATCACTTCCCAGTGACACCATACACTGTCTGGCAGACACAGCTGCAGCCGAGCCTCCCGATGACCCTCCGGGCACCCGAGAAATGTCCCATGGGTTTGCAGTCACCTAATGAATGAACAGATGCACCACCTGAGTAAACCAACCCCAGTTACCAGTGGGAAACATAAAGAAACGAACTTCCAAAACCCCACCGTATTGGACTTTTACTAATACTAACAACCAACCTGCTTTACTACCCACAATAAAAGGGGTAACTCACATTCTAAAAGTTCCATAAAAGACTAAAATTAACTTCTTTATTCAACTAAACTTTCATTTCCATGAAGTTGTAAAATAAAGTTCTAATCTTTAAAGCATTTCCTCCAAAATGAATAACAAAAATGAAAATTGCACAGAACACACAAATTATATAGATAAAAGAAAGGAAACCCAGAAGAGAAAAACCTGATAGGCAGAGGCTTCAGTGGTGCTGCCCATGCCAAACTCATCCAAATTGGTCTTACCCACCACAATCCCACCTAGCTCCTTAATCTTCCTGACGGCAGTGGCATCATACGGCGGCGTATAGCCTTCCAGAACACGAGACCCAGCCGTGGAGGGCATTTCAGCCGTACAGATATTGTCCTTGATGGCCACAAGTACCCCAGCCAAGGGACCCAACTCCTCATTCCTCTGAATCTTCTCGTCAAGCTCACGGGCTTGGGCCAGGACCGAGTCTGACACGTGGAGAAAGGAGCGCAGATGCGGCTCTGTGAGTCGGAGGCGAGTGAGAAAGGACTCGGCGAGTTGGGTGGCGGTGAGGTGGCGGGAGAGAAGGGAGTGGCGGGTGGAGAGGATTTGGGAGTGTGATGGTGGGTTTGGAGATTGGGATTGGTCTGGGATGGTGGAGTGGGTGACTGGCTGTGAGGATAAGGAAGAGAGGGGTTTAAGGGACGTGTAGCGGAGGAGGAGGGTGGGGTTAGAGCGGAAGTGGGAGAGTGAGCGTGGAGGTTGGAGTGTTGATATCATAGTTTATTTGACTTGCTTTCTCTGCAACTGGGACTTGTAAGATGAATTGTGTGAAGCTCGGCTGCAAGAGAAATGGTGACTGATGTGAGGAAGAGAAATGCTCAACCGTGACGTTTTGAAGATTTTGAAGACTGAGAGAACTGTGACTGAACAATGCTCAACTGTTTTATCTGTGAGGAGTTGCTCCTAGTCCGTTCTGTTTGGGCCTCTGGGCCCTGTGTTTACCACACACAAAAATGACGGCCATATGGCGGGAGCAAGAATTCTACAGTGAGAGTCTTATATATGGCCTTATCTCTACCGTTGGATCAAATTAATTAGTCTAATCCAACGATTAAGAGATACCTGTTCTTAACCGATTAAGATACAAGCTCACCTGCACCCAACCACTGGAGCTACAAGCCCTTGCGTGTATACTGAGTTAGATTGCTAAAAATTATAAATTAAATTTCTATCCCATTGAAAAAAGGTTGGATAAAATCCTAGGATTATGGGTGGTGCACTAAACTCAATTTCTTTTGTAGTACTGTAATTCAACAGCTTCAATAATAACAACAATAAAACAAATATTTTGTTTTTCTTGATCACGTCAAATGGGATGAATTTTCCTCTCTCATCAGTGAGCACACGAAGCAATGGCAGAGGGCAAATACATTACATGTAGTGATACACGAGGTATACAAAACTAAAATCACCATGATTTTGCAGTTTATTTTCTCCTAGGCTTCTATAGAAATATTGCCAATTGCTCAGTCACGTGAAATATACAAAGAACCCAGCGTCCACCTATATTACACAGATATTCTTTTGTTTATGGTGATTGATGAAGGTTTACAAGTACTCCGCTAAATCTTCTTGGTTCTCCATATCCCAGACAACAATTTTTCCATCCAATCCTGCAATGTCAAGGTGTTAGAGCTAACCAAAGCAGATTCAGTGGAAACAGGAAAGGAATCTACGATAAGCGATTGAAAACTAAATTTAACATTGACTTGCTAACCCGATGTGCTGAAGCGCTTCACTTTAGAACTCCCTGGAGCTCCAAGCGGCACGATACAACTACAGTTACCAGGGAGGATTGTTATGTAAAAATATATAAAACATATAAAGGTGGCCCCAAATCCAGTGTCATCCACCCAATTCATCAGTCAGACCTCCCGCCTGACAACTAGGGTGGAGATGTAATGTTTGAAATGGAACTGGGGCTACTACACAGGGAATATCTAAAGAGAAGGAAAAGTGAAGTACTTAATGCAGTTCTCATGGACCCCTCCTCGTGATCTTGAATGCTCATTTGTATCATTGTTGAATCCCTGTTTTGGTTGGCCATACAGCTTTCCAAATGCTTCAGAAAACTGAAAGGGGAAAACTCCAGTTGAGAAATAGGAAAAGGAATAGCATAATGTGATGAATGATTTTTGCTTCATAACATAACAGGGAAAAACCGGAAATCCAGTTTACACTAACAATGAACTCGAAATGTTCACTAAATTCCTGTTATGCTCTCGGAGCTTAAGACTGCTTGCTTAGTTCACTATCTCCAACATACAGCACACTAAATAATGAAGACAAACTCACTAAACTAACAGTTGAAACTGTTGTTCCACTGCATATGCAGCAGAGTTATGGTCAGAATTATCAGCAGGGCATGTACAAAACATTCAAGCAATTTCACATTTTAAAACTCAGAACAATATCATCTTTTAACATTCCTTCTCCTTCAAGACATGGAGGAACTGTTAAACCCAAGACCAATTCCACCCTATTCAACATGTTTACAACCACTGGCAAGTTGATTATATTTATTTACAATAGGCACGCATTTTATGCACTCCCCACAACCCCCCCCCCCCCAAAAAAAGAAAACCTCTCTCTCTCATAACATATAAACAACCAGGTATTTACCTGTGAACCATATTTTGGACCTGAAGATGTTGTCTTTCTTTCCCCCAGAAATTTGATAAAACTCCTACAGAGAAAAGAACAAAGCTATTATTTTGCTATCCTCCTCCAAAGAACAAATCCATCAGGAAAAGATACTTACCATATTCCTCTTTCATCTGCCGCAAAAACCATTGGGTTGCAATCAAATCCCACACCTATAACTAATCTTTCAGAAAGAAATAAGACCTGAAAAAGTGCCACATATGGATTGACAATACCCAAATAGAAATAAGTTAGTTCATTACATGTGGAGTAGATATTTAGACTCTCAAAAAGTTAACATGAGTTGATGCTGACCCACATCACGGAGAGGCAAATCACGGAATGCAACATTTTGAGCCAAAGGAGAAGGTCCCACATCATCAACAAAGTAAATCATAGAATTATGGCCTGCATAATGCCACAACCCGGAAACCAATTAGTGGGAAATGAATGATAATACCCAAACCAGCTGCTAACTTGACAATTTGAAATACTGCCTACCAAGCAATCAACATATGCTATGCCAAAAACTTTTTATCTTTGTAAAGAACATGCAGAAAGGAGATATGTCTGACCTACATATGCTAAGGTATTGCCACTTGGTGACCACCTTACACCAAATGACCAAGTAAAGGAGAGATCAAGTTGAAGAATTTGCTGTTTCACCAAAAAGAAAACAAGTAAGGTTAGCTTCTACCAAAAGGGCAAGACAAAAAGCAAAATGCATGAATGGGTACCACTATGCAATGTCTCCAAACCAGGATCACCAATTATGGGCTTTAAGACAAAAATGATACTAAATTTTGAAAATCTAATTTTGCTTTAATTTTAGAAAACCAAGCAGGTTGGAGTCTTGAAACTTACTGTTCAGAATTTAGAATTAGCACAAACAGAAAGCACATACTCAATTATTATTGAACTTTCTTGCACTGATTCAATACCTATCGTCTTAACAATGAGCTACATTGTTTATTCTTCTTTTGTAGAAACAACGAGCTAGAGTTTAACATATTTCATAACTTTTAGAACATTGTTACAATGCTCATAATGAGAAATTAAATTAAAGGTAAGCCAAGAAAACATATTTACTTATGAGTATTTCATAAATCAGTGGCTAAAATATTGGATTTACAACATTACATTGTGCTACAGGTAACTACTACTAACAACTCTATATGATTAAATGCGTAATCAAACCAAGCAGCAGTTATTTAACTGGTAAGAGACTGTTTGTTATCTATTCTATACATCAAATATAAATAGATGCATTAGAAAAAGCATTTTTCGATAAGGGAAAATTTAGCACCTCTCCAAATTTTGAATCTGCAGATGGGCCTGTTCTTGATTCCCTGAGTAATGCATGAGCAATTATAATTATAATATACACAACTAAAATACGAACTCGACTAAATACAAAGAATGACAGCTCTACAACTACATGTAACATACTTTGCGTCAACGACCTTAATAAAGGTGGAAAATATCCGGCACTTTCCATCTGTAGATGCTGTTGCAAGAAGAATCTGTAAAAAATGAGCATATATGAGTACTTAAACATGGTAAAGGGTTAATTACTTAGCAACCAAACTAACAATTGAACATGAAATTGTCCCAATAGTTCAGCAAAAGGCAGGTATCAAGGTAAAGATAACTTATGGAAAGGGAAAATGTGAAAGATCATTGACTAACTATACTAATCACGTCTAATATATCAATATGACGGTTATGTATTGCAAGCCTGACACCCTAGCTTAGGACACAAGATTCAACTTCAGAAAATATCCAAGAATAAATAAAGGATTAACATCCTAAACATAACATATTGGAAATTATAAAACCCTGATCACCTTTGGGTAGAGGAGGGCCAAGCCCTCATGCACACAGATTCCGCAAACCCACATGCACCGGGTCCCAGTATGTATGAAAACAATAACTACCATGGAGGTTTGCAAAAGAGGATGGACAGAGTCAAACCTAACTAGATGATATGCATGCATGCAACTGCTTTGAACGTACAGGAAACATATACAAATTGTGAACTGGGAATATACGCACATTATTTGGATGCCAAGCAACACTTGTCACAGAAGAGTCATGTCTTTTTCTGATAAGTTTACTGACCCACCTGGAAAAGGGTACAATGCAGATATTAACCAGCGAAAAAGCATTGAAATAGAAGGTAATTCTAATCTGTAAATGTATCAAACGGATTTAGCCAAGCACAAAAAGTTAAACCGCACGTATTATGTTAATTACCAGTTGTTCTCTTGCTCGTAGTAGCATATACAAACAGTTTTTGCCCCACTTCCAACAGCAAATTTGTTTTCTGGTACATAAAGGCATACACATTAGAATTGCATGACATTTTAACACTGATGGATCCTCTGTATTTACATTCGGAAAAAAAAGATTCAATACCTCTTGGACTCCACTTAACACAGAGTGCAGCACGATTTAGCCGAAGGATAACAAGGGTTGGTACCCACTCTGATCCTTCAAGATTCCAGACATAGCTAGCCAGAATTGGTAGTTCAGGAAAATAATTAATGCATCAAAAAGTGTAAGAAAGACAAAGTGAGAGAGAGAGAGAGAGAGAGAGAGAGAGAGAGAGAGAGAGAGACCAAAACTCAAGTTAAACTTATTTGATTAAATAAATTACAAAACAAAGACTATCTCAAACCACATAGGTACTCACGAATTCCGATCATGAGATGCAGTAACTATTTTGTTCGACCTTGCACTCCAGTCTATCCCAGATACAATTTGGTCATGCTGCGAAAAGATAGAATAAAATAATGCTTACTATATTCCCACGCATTCTCTTTGTCAAAAAGCTAGGGCCAAATTTTCTTAGAAAAAGTACAATGACCAGATGTGAATAACCAATAATAAAATATATACTTAATGCCTCTCTAAAATTCTAACATTAAGGTTTTTTTCTTTTTGCCTGATGGCCAGAGCTAGAGATAACTAGGAAACAAAACGAAGACAATGAAGCAGCAAATGCAAATGATAACTAATCACCATAAAAATGAAGCAGCAAATGCAAATGATAACTAATCACCATAAAAACAAATCTCTCAAACACAATACTTCACACAAATTGGACAGCAGGACCTTCCAAGAAGCCATCAAATTTATATCAATTAACAATTATCACATTACAGGGAGGTTTATCGAACAGCTTGATATATCTAAGTAATTTCCTTAATGCTTTTTACCTTTATTTCTGTTACTACTTGAATTACTTTCTAATTGTCTTGAG